CTGCCCCTCAGCCCCCGCTCACCGACAGCATCGTTCCCCCACACACACCCCCCTCCGCGCCTCTCCTCCACCCAGGCCTCCCGCTCTCCCCCGAGGGGCTCAGAAAGGCGGGAAACACCGCCGCGCCGCCACCCCGGGGCCCCCCCCGCCCCGTCCCCCAGCCGCCTACGGCCTCCCCAGGACCGAGCCCCAGGGACGACACCCGCCTGCTGGGCCCCGCAGAGCGGCCGCCCCGGCGGCAGCCAGGCCCCAGCGGAGACCCGACCGGCGCGGCCGCCCGCCCGTCCTCACACACTCACCGTCGGCGCCGTCGCGCTGGCTGCGTCACGGGGGCGGTGGCCAATGAGGAGGCGGGGGGGGCGGGCCGCTTGTGTTTGAATTCGGCGGCCGGCGTTGGCGGCGGTTGGCTCGGCCGTGGCGCTGAGGTGAGTGGCGGGCGGGCGGTGGGTCCTTTCTCTGTAACCTCGGTTGTGCTGTGGGGCTGAGGCCGGCGGTGGGCCCTGGGGGAGAGCTGTTAGCGGCAGGGTGAGAAGCGAGCCGAGAGGGCTGAGTGGGGCCGGGCCGCGGCCCCCCGCGCTCGGCTGTTTCTGGGTGTTTCTTCCGCGTTACGGCCTTGCTCTTGTGGCCGCGTCGGTCAGGGCAGCGGCCCTGGGGCGGCTCGGCTGAGAGAGGGCAAGCTTGCTCCGAAGCTGAAAAAGGCTGTCGCTGAGAGCCCTTGCCGTGAAGGTCGCTGTCCGCTGTTCGGAGTGCGCGACCCTCAGTTATCCGCAAGGATGGCCCGTTAAAAGGAAGTTCTGGTTTGACAGCTATGGAGTATGTTTATGTATCCCATGCAAATTCCGTTAACGTGACTCCCGCTTTAACTGTCTCTTTAAACCTACGTGCAATGTGACTAAACCAATAACCCAGAGAAAGCAGACAGGCGGCTACTCTGCGTTTTGCTGAAGGACAAGAAAACCACTCCCTTTGGCCTGTGGGATCCTGGTAGTGCATCGGCAAACTCGCCCTGAAATAAAGGAAAGCCAGGAAATGAATTAGTAGTTTAAATAGTTGAAATGAGCTTGTGAATTTCTTAGGGAAATGCTACTTAGTTTTCTTAAAGCTGTGCTGCATTAGGCCACCTTTTCAGGCCAGTTACAGTGCTTTCCAAAGTTGTGCTATTGCTGTAGCAGTCCAGAGGGCTAACAAACAAGGGATGGGCAGACGCGGCACGGGTAAAGGTGTGAACTAGTTGAAAGGTTATATTTGAAACAGAAGGCTTTTAACTCTTTTTTTGTCCGTTGCAGGAAAGATTCAGCCTCTTGATCTGAAAGAGTCTTGGAAGCGAAGAAGGGGAACAAAAGGGACATTGTTATGTCTACTGCTAAGGAAGAAGATGTCTGTAATCACGTGAAAGTGGTGGTCCGTGTCCGTCCAGAGTCTCAAAAGGAAAAAGATGGCAACTTTAGCAAGGTTGTTCACGTTGTTGACCAGCACATATTGGTCTTTGATCCAAAGGAGGAAGAAGTTAGCTTCTTTCACGGAAAGAGACTGACCCATAGGGATATTAATAAGAGAAAGAAGAAAGATCTTAAATTTGTGTTTGATGCTGTTTTTGCTGAAAGTTCATCCCAGTTGGAAGTTTTTGAGCATACTACCAAAAGTGTAATCGACGGCTTCTTAAATGGGTATAATTGCACAGGTAATTTTGCTATTTTCTCAATTCAAAAACTTTGCTAAAATCCTTGAAGTTTCTACCATTGTATCTGACTGTGGCAGAGGCCTTAAAAAAGGCTGAGCTATAAATAAGGGATTTTGTTTTAATTTATAGATAAGAGAGGCAGACTTTTTAGCCTACGGAAGTTAGGATAGCTCTACTCTATTTTGAAAATGAGTTCATGTTAGGGTTATAATAGATTCCAGAATTTTATCTGAAATATGCATGCTTATGAGGGGAGTCCTCTAGAAAGAGTTATTCAACCAGAAGTTGTGTCATTGAGTGTGTGGTAGCCTGCTTTACAAACTCTTTAAGAGCTTGGGTTTTTAATTGACAAATGGAATGTGGTGAGGAAATTAAATGCCTACCTGCAGTAAGTTGATGGCTTAGGGTTATGAAAGCAAGCGAGTAATAGTTTCGTGTAAATTGCCAGTGAATGGATTTTGAACTGAAAATTCAAACATATATAGTTTTCTGATTATAGCTGTGAAAAGTAAAGCCTAAGTAAGAAACTTGATCAGTTTATGAAAACAGCTGCACAGAATGACAGAGGTGTGTGAATGTCCATTTGACTTTTGGGTTCCTGATTAGCTTACTGGTGTAAAGTACACCTTTTTGCTTTGTTGTTTTTGGGTTTTTTTTCTGAAACTTCAGTGCTTGCCTATGGTGCAACGGGAGCTGGAAAGACTCATACGATGTTAGGTTCCCCTGAAGATCCTGGAGTGATGTATTTAACCATGATGGCACTTTATAATTGTATGGATCAAATAAAAGAAGATAAAACATGTAATGTTGCTGTCTCTTATTTAGAGGTAAGTGAGCTCCTGCATTTAGTATATTGCTTTTAACAAGGCATATTTTAATAAATAAAGATAAGCTGGTTTTGCTTTCTCCCAGCCCTTTCTGGGACTTTACAAAAATGTGTCCCTGATAGGAATGGAACGGAACTGAACTGTGCTCCATAAATTTGGTGTTATTCATAGGCACCCCTTAGTATTTTACAGAAGGCTGCCCAAAAAGGACAATCTCTTCTAATATATTCACTAAACATTCTAATGATTTCTGTCTTGCTGATAGGTTACATACCTTTAGACATCTGTTGATGTGTACAAGAAAATATTTTTCAGAGTTATGTTTCAGGACTTCAGAATAAAATTCTCTAAGTACTGTGAAATCACACAACCAAATGATATGTAATCCCTTTTTGATGATGTTTTTTAAAGTTTTCAGTTTGTTTATCTGAGATACGGTACAACTACTTGAATTTGAGCTGCTATGCCAATGGTTAGCTCTTTACAAGTGTCCCTTTTATTCTTTGTCACCTCCTCTCCAACTTTTTTGCATCGCAGTTCTGTTTTTACAAGTAAATGTCTTGGCACTGCTGTTAAGCAGTAGTAGTAAAATTGTTACCTTCTAGCCCTCTCAAAGCCTTAATGGAAGAATAGTTAGTATTTGGGGAGCGGCGGGGGGAGAGAAGTAGGAGGGAAAAGTTTGCTTTGCCATGTGCTATTTCAAGTGCTTCCACAGACCAAGAAATAAGGTATGTAAGAACTTTAACAGAAATACCTTTGGATTAAGAAATCTCACTAAAGTATGGATTATGAAGTGTAACAGAGGACAAGAAATGCTTTGGAGTCATGCTTGCTGCAAAAGTTTTTTTTTTGTAAAAAAAAAAGTAAACTTTCATTTTTTTAATAAAGAATAACGATTATTTACTAGGAAAGAGTGACTCCTGCTTCAATGGCCAAAAAATTCATGCAAATTGATATAATTGAATATTTCAAGCTCAGTATAGGAAAGCTGTTTGGAAAAAATTCTACAGAATGAATTTGTTACTTAGTCTTGAAGAGGCATTAAAAAAGACTGTCATGATTTCTGGTTAGTTAAGTTTAATCCTGTCAAGTATGGTAGCATAGTTTTATTAAAAGATTTTAAATTCCCTTTTGAAGGTCTACAATGAGCAGATCCGTGATCTGCTGGTAAACTCAGGACCTCTGGCTGTTCGTGAGGATACCCAGAAAGGGGTGGTGGTTCAAGGGCTAACATTACATCAGGTATGTAAATAGATGTCCTGGTTTCAGCTGGGACAGAGTTAACTGTCTTCCTAGTAGCTGGTACAGTGCTATGTTTTGAGTTCAGTATGCGAAGAATGTTGATAACACTGATGTTTGCAGTTGTTGCTCAGTAGTGTTTAGACTATAGTCAAGGATTTTTCAACTTCTCATGCCCAGCCAGCGAGAAAGCTGGAGGGGCACGAGAAGTTGGCACAGAACACAGCCAGGGCACCTGACCCAAACTGGCCAACGGTGTATTCCATACCGTGTGATGTCCCATCCAGTATAGGAACTGGGAAGTGGGGGGGGGGGGGCAGAATCGCTGCTCGGGGACTAGCTGGGTGTCGGTTGGCAGGTGGTGAGCAATTGCCCTGCGCATCATTTGTACATTCCAATCCTTTTATTACTACTGTTGTCATTTTATTAGTGTTATCATTATCATTATTAGTTTCTTCTTTTCTGTTCTATTAAACTGTTCTTATCTCAACCCAGGAGTTTTACTTCTTTTTCCTGATTTTTCTCCCCCATCCCACTGGATGGGGGGGGAGTGAGTGAGCAGCTGTGTGGTGCTTAGTTGCTGGCTGGGGTTAAACCACGACAATAGATATTGAAATTCAGGAAGCCTCACAATGTGTTTGAGAAAATGGTGACGTTCCCATTGATCTGTGAAAGCTGTATGCAACAATGTAATTTCCTGGTGGGCTTTTTTTCTGGCCATAATCACCAGTACTTTAGTAACTTGCAAACCTAACTAATTATTCCAAAGCATGTTGTGGAAAAAACTGCTAATATTCTTGAATACAAATGAATAAAAGCATTCAGTCCTTATTATCAAAAGGATACCATTGGTTTGGAAGATTTGTTTTTTGGCTAAAACGTTTCAGCATTTGTTAAAGAGATTCACTGCTTTCAGTGCCATCTTGGAGTGTTCTACACCTCTACAATGTCTCAAGGTTGTTTTTGTTTTTAAAGAACCAAGTTTGAAAAGTTTCATGTCAAATTACTTTTCCAGGCCAGCATAGCAGTTCTTTGGTAAAGTCAGTGACAGAACTTGGTTTTCCAATCTGAAAATCAACTCTTGTGGAGCTATGTTCTTGCAGCCTTTTAGTGTATGTTACATGCTGTCTAGCTTCCAGCTTTTGTGTACATGGAATAATGATTCAACAGGAAATGGTGTTAATAATTTGGCTCGCTCTGTGTACACCATCCTTCCCAAAGCTTGGGTCTTGTGAGGAAAAAAATTAGTACATCGCACTAATGTGTAAGTACAAGAAAAATTAAGTCAACCATTCTTAAATGAGACTTCTTCTAACTATGGAGAACCTTTGCAGATTTGTTTAAATTCTTTACTAAAAACCTCTGATTTAAATTTCTTTAGTGAAGTGCTTGCTTTTTGTACCTTACTGATTTTTTTTTTAAGTGAGAATGTTTGTTTAAAGTGCCTCAATTCCAAAACAGGAAATTTCTCTTATTTCTAGGTAACTAAAATTTTAAGTTCCTTTATTTTTTGGAGGTGAATGTTAATGTATTTTAAAATCACAATAGAATCTCCTATAGTTGATGAAAAAGAAAAAAAAGTGCATTTATCTTGTGCTCTACCCTTAAAGCCTAAATCGGCAGAGGAAATCCTCCAAATGTTGGATTATGGAAATAAAAATAGAACACAGCATCCCACAGATGTAAATGCCTCCTCTTCCCGGTCCCATGCTGTCTTTCAGGTAAGATGATATAGCATATGTACAGTGGTGTTTAAAGTTGAATACAATGGAAGCTTTTTTTTTTAAATGTGTTGAACCTTAGTTTGGGTGAGAGGAGTTTAAAGTCTTCCAGTTTACTCTTCTAGTTGACTTCTCATTCCTTGTGAGTATGTAAAGGTTCATAGTGATTATATTTGAAAAAACAAATTCGATGAAAAGCTCTCTGGTTGCAATGGTTCAAACTAATATTCTTTAGAAGAAATATCTTTTCTGTGAAACTAATTTTGAGCTTTGAATATACTTCCATATTATAATCTTATAAACTGAAGGTTGTTGGGTTTTTTTAATGCTTTCTTGTTTCATTATGTTGCTCAGCATTTTTCTAGGAAAAATATTTTACAGAATGCAGTTATACGTCTGGCTATAAACTGCAAATCTCAAGTAGTACCTTCTCATGCAGCTTATTTTGGTTAATGTTGATTTTAGCACTAAAGTGATTTCTTAATATTCTGGTATGTGCCAAGTTTTAGAACAACTAAGGCAGTATATATTCTCTGAAAATATCTCCATACATATACTTGCATCATCAAAACAAAATGCTAATTTTTAATTTCCATAGATGAGTTTTGCAAGGTGTTGTACAAATCTGCTAGAACTTAAGACTTCTCCAAAGATTATTGCTCTTTGCTAACCATCACCTTGTTCTTCTGATTCCTCTTAAATACAACCTATGATATTTTTAAAAATAATATTTAAAAATTATCCTTGTTAGCTAAAACTTCTTTTCTCTGTTTGCTAGTGTGTATTGCAAAGCATGTTATCTTAAATTATTTATATGTTGCCATTCTGGGTTGCAAAATATTAAAATAAATTTGAATTCTGGTCCTTGCATTACAGCTAAACTATTTAACTATTAGGCAGTTCTCACCTGTATTTGCAGATTAGACAATGCTTAGTAATTATATATAGCCAAAAGTTTGTATTTTGATACAGACAATGGCAATGCAAGTAGCTGTAAAGTTAGTGCTCCAGAGCTCTACTGTCAATATTAATGAGAAAAGAGGTTAATAACAGACAGTAAATGTGTTAAATACTTCTAAAATATGTAATGGAGCAAAAGTCATTCCCACTCTAAAAGCTTCTATGTTTTCTTGTATTCCCTAGATTTCTCTTTGAAATTGCCCTTCCTGGTTTTAATTTCCCCTGAGGCCTTGCCCATGGTCATACATCTAAGGCAAAAACTTCTTGGGAAGTTGTTCAATTTGAGAGCTGCATTGTTATGTATGTGTGCTACCTTTAATAAGGCACAAAGTACAGTGCCACAGACTGAGATCAGAGAGCAAACTGCTGATTTCTGTTTCTTTACTTGCTGGGCTTGAGTGTCTTACCTCCCTCACCTTTATTCGGGAAAAAGCTCTGGATTGTATTATCTGGCAGGCTTTGCATTCTTCTCGGTTCGTTTCTAAAAGTGGCAAGCAATTAAATAAATTAGGTAGATGTTGCAGACTTGTTTCTTTAAGAAGACAAACAATTCTGTGAACAGGGATGCTGGAGAGTTTGTCTTCTCCAGCCTACGTTCTGTATTTATTTTGGCAAACTGATCTCACTGTAGATATATTTGTTAGCAAAAGTTGCGCATTCACCAAATAAACTATACTGACAAAATCGGTATACCTATATCTTACCAGAAATTTGTTTGAATGTATGAGAAAAAAAAATGGGTTGGTATACTTAACTGGACTTACACTTTTTTCTAAACTGATCGTTTCAAACTATTTCTAGCTTATAGACAGTAAAAGTGAGTGAAATATGACTGCTTGCAGGTGAGAGGATTGCTTAGTTTCTGGCAATATAAGTAAAAACACAATGAAAACAAAGATCCTCTCATATCTAAATATTGTAGGAACATAAAATTTATCATTTCTCTGTGTGTATATTAAAAATATAGATATTTAGGATGCAGCTTGCTTGCGATGCACTGAACAAAAACTGTCATGCCTCAGTGGTTTTGTAAATGTTTTTCATATTATGTTCTAAAATGAACAAACTTCAGGTTTTATTTTTTCTGTGTGCATTATATACACACTGTAAACTGGTGTGTTGCTTGAGAAAGTACAAATAACAAATCTTTGAATGTTTACCAAATACTGTTACAGTAAGCATCTGACCTCAAAAAGCAAAAAGTACGTACTCTTGCAGCTCACGTATATTAAGCCCTGAATGATTTTTCTCTGAAATCATTATTGTTGATAATGGAATTCTTAAGACTGCTCAAACTAGCGTGAACATTTTTCTCTTTGAACTTGAGATAACTGACTAAGTGATTTCTGGACTAATCTCTCTGTGTTTTTTCTTTGTTTTCGTGTTTCCCCATGGCAGTAGTGGCCAGCAAAGTAGCCTTGATTGTTAAAATGCACTGGCTGTCTCTTAGCCAGTCCCCATGTGCAGCTGTAGTCAGTTAAATGGCATGCTTGATTGAACTTGATATTCATGGACAAATGCCTGGGTGTTAGAACTTTTTCTTGAAGGAAAAGACCTTTCAATGTAAAGATGAGGCATTGCCAAGTCATGACTTAAAGCATGTTCTATTATGTAGTCAGCATTCAGTCCCAGTGCATGGTTCATTCACAAAAACTGTCAGACTGATTCTGTTCAAGGATACTGTAAACAAAAACTTTCTCTGGTGCTCTTTGCAAAATTCCTAATCAGGTTAACTGTTGTAATGAGATAATCCTGAATGTTTGTTGTGTTTGTCTTTTGAGTTGGTCTAGCTGTCAATCAAGATATTTAATTGCTTTTGCTTAAGTGTCACTTTCTGTTAAGTGCACAAATTATTGGTAAAAGTCATGATTTGTTTTGTTAGACAATTGTGTCTTGAATGTGTGATTTACATTAATACCTACTAATATTGTGTTCTCAAAGATAAACTAGTGCAGTCTCTGAATAATATTGCATTTAAGAGTGAATGGGTTTTAAGGCTTTTTCACAGAAGTGACTTTATGCTCGAGAGCAGGAGAGGACTACATCATTTATTCAGAAGAATGTGTGTGTAAATAAATGCTTAATAGAAATGCTGCATCTGCATGTAGTACTTTAAAGGAATATTACTGTTGCTAATTAGATTGGTCCGATGAATGCACCTGGAAGTTTAACAGATTTTAATTAACGTATACTGGTTTCAGCTAAGCAAATTCACAACCATGCTTCTTTTTTTAAGTGGACTCTTATATACTCTATCTACCTAATGCACTTATGAGCAGTGTTAGCATCTGTAATAAATAATTACAAACTAGTCAATTAGTACTACAAGTAATCGCTTATTCAGCTTAATCAGTTTTTCATCTTTTTCCACAGTCTGTGAAAGAAGTCTGTGACATTCTGCAAAACATTTCTTACCTGCTTATCCTTTATTGCCTCATTGGTTCCACAGATATAAATGATGAGAAATCCCTATTGCTGTCTTGATTCCTCTTCATTTTTCAGTTTTCTGTTATTTTAAGAGTTGCTCTTGTTTGTAGAGATCAATTATCTTTTATGCTGGCTTTGGGTTTTGTTGTTAACTTTATTGGAGCAGGATGTTTTCTGGAACTGACTCAGAAAGTAGTAAAAGTCTTGGCCCAGGACATTCTGAGCTGATTTTAGAGATGCAAGTTTTGCCTTACTGTACCATCTGTCTTAGTTCTGAAATCTCTATCTAGGTCAGGCAATTACTGCATCTGAAAGTAAAATCCCAATTGCCACACTGTTCCATTGAAAGTGTTCTGCTGACGGACAAAGAAATAGAAAAGATTCTGCTTTGGGGCATTTTCTGTATCTCTTGAATTTTTATAAAAGCTTGAGTCATACAACATAGTTTGGCTGTCATTCTACCTTTCCTTACTTCACTAATCATAGTTACTGGGTTCTGGTAGAGTGCTACCAGCCTGAGATAGTTACTTTACCAAAGTAAATACAGGCAAGTGCCTTTTTTCTTTTCCTTTTTATTTTTTTTTTTTTGGGGGGGGGGGTATTTTGTACTAGAAATAGTACAGCAGAACTTGTATTGTTTGATATAGAAACATGTCTGTTTGGCGTAGACATACCTTTTGTGGCAAGTCCTAAGAATTTTATTTATACTCAATACTTGTCAATTTTTTTTATGTTACAAATTGATGTGAAGATTTCATTTCTTATGTGCAAAGCTTAAAGCTACAGAACTGGTGAGAAATTCTCTTTATTAGTCAATCACCTTAAATGTATGGCATCTCTTTCCCAGTTCACTGTCTAGCAGCGCATTCATGAAAGCTTCAGTAACCATTAGCTTTACAAATGGCAAGGCACTCAACACTAAAGAAGGGGAAACTTACAGAGAATCCTGAGAAAGTAAAAGCCATCTAAGGATAACTGTAATTCTTCTTATTGACTGTATAATAATGCTCTGCATACTTTCTCATAAACCTAAGGAAAGAATACCTTCACTAGCAGAAGGAAGCAAAAGTATTTAGTTCCTTGTACATCTCCTATACCATGAAAATTTCAGGAAAGAAGGGATGCAGGGAACAAGTAGCCTCAGAGGTCACAGCTTTCCTAAAGACCCTGGAGTAGTATGTGTTTTCACAGCAGTAAATGAGTATTGTTCCCCTATTAATGGTAGTTACAATTAAGTCTAAATCACTGAAAGTCTAGCCTTTTTCCTGGTTTACCCCTATATTTATCTTTATGGTGTGCTCTTAAAGGTGCCTTTAAAAAATGAACACCTTCTTCACTTTGAAGCATAATAGTGGGGTATACATCTTGAGTGCAGAAGAATCAAGAGCTATTTTAGCTATGAAATTCATCTGAAACTCACCAATCTTTGCCGCTGCGGTAAGCCCTAGACCAGTTGCTCACTTAATCCTCTGCAGCAGGATGCCGGAGAGAATCAAAAGAGCAAAACTAAGAGGGAGGGGGAAATACCTCGTGGTTCGCTTAAGTGAAGGGGGGGGGAAGCAATCATTTGCTACTGGCAGGCTCATGCCCAGCCAGTCCTCAAGCGATGGCTACTTTGGAGAAACTATCGATCAGTTGGGGTCAGCTGTCCCCTTGCAACTTCTTGTCTACTGCCTTGACACAGTACAACTACTGTTCAGCAAAAGCTAAACACTGGTGTGTTATCAGCACTGTTTGGGTCACAAATCTGAAAGCACCATGTGGGCTGCTATGCAGAAAATTAACTCCATCTCAGCCAAACCCAGTGCAACCACACTCTACGTCTTTTTCCCTACTAATACCTGGAGCAGGTGAGTTTAAGAAGTAAGTGTCAGAAATGGATTCACTATTTTCCATTAGGCCAAACTGCTTGTTGGTGTTAGATATGTACTGTAAGTTTTAACTTGAATTCCGAGAAGGACTCCAATAAGAATTTCTGAAAACAGTTGATACACTGTAACATTAAGTCACTGCTTAGAGTAACAACAAACTGGTTAGTGGTTACTTTTTAATTATTTTCCTTTTTTTTATTGTAGATTTATCTAAGGCAGCAAGATAAAACAGCTAGTATTAATCAAAATGTTCGCATCGCCAAAATGTCTCTCATTGACCTGGCAGGATCTGAACGTGCCAGCGTGACAAATGCTAAGGGGGCTCGTTTCAGAGAAGGAACAAATATTAACCGCTCCCTGCTAGCTCTTGGAAATGTCATTAATGCCTTGGCAGATCCAAAGGTATGTGCTGCTTTCTCATGCAGTCTTCACCTCCTAGCATTCTGAAAACCTTTTTAAAAATGGAAAGCTCTCATTGAGTAATGGAGATTACCTTATTGCTGCTTCTCACATCATTTTCCTTTAAGGTTTTCTTATGGGTTTCCACCATCATCTCTGTGATAGCTGAAGGACAGTCCCAGCAGGAGAGAGCTCTCAAAAACTGTGTGCACCTACCTAAGGATAGTGTCAAAGATGGATGTACCTGCCTTTCTTACCTACCTTTTCCAAAATCAAGCATAAGTAGAGAACCTTGCATGAGTAAATAAACACCTTTAGGAGAAGAAAGATTTTTCTGGAGGTTTATGCCCTTTAGTCCTAGGGGAGGAGGCTTTTATAGGAGAAAACAACGCCTATCCAAAGTTGTTCTTTTGTGCTCTTCCCTACATCCACACACCCACACAGGCATCCCCCACTGTGTGTCTGTGTACCCCCCAGCTCACAGTAGTGAATTAGTCTCCCGATCTGGCTCACCAGCTCAAAGGAGTGGGGACAGTTACATGGGAGAATGACAAAACCTCCTGAACTTTTGGCAAAGTCAAGTCCATTGGCTACAGCTACACCCTTTTTGTCTTTCTGGTCGGCTAGCAATTTCCCCCTTCAAATATGCCAGGGGAAAATGATCAGAGCTTTTTATTTCCCTTCCTGGTGCTGCACATTCTCATCAACATCTTCTTGGAGTGGGAGGCAGAATTTAAAATTTGTACCATGGACATAAGTAAGATTCTTCATGTTGTCTTATTTGGTGTGGGATTGGGGTCCTAGTGACCTAACTTTGTACCGCGAGATGAAGATTCTGTAGATATGATTGGAAAAAAAGCCTCACAAAGACTTTGGGTTCCCTGAAAGGTTGTGGAATCTCCATTCTTGGAGATACTCAAAACCCAACTGGGCATAGTCCTTGGCAGCTCACTCTAGCTGACCCTGCTTTGAGCAGAGGGATTGGACTAGATGGATCTTGAGAGGTCCTTCCCAACCTCAGTTATTCTGTGAACTGAAGGTAGTTTAATGTAGTCTACCTTTTCTGTTAGTTGCCCACATCACAAAAAGAGTTGTTAGGTATCCGGATGTCAGAAGGTAACCTGGTTAATATGTGTGTTATAAAGGTATTAAACAGTTCCAAGAGACTTAAAACTGTTTGAGATGTATATGTAATTTTAAGAAAAATTACTTCTGTCAAAGAAAAGTTCCAAGGCTGCTTGTCATGGTTTGTGGCATTGTTGAAATTCTAAGCAGACTTTTAGGCAGGTGAAAATTTAAAGTAGAGTTGACTAATCCATAAAAATGCATATAACTCTCTTTCTAGAGCAAGAAACAGCACATTCCTTATCGAAACAGCAAGCTTACTCGTTTATTGAAAGATTCTCTTGGAGGAAATTGCCGAACAATAATGATAGCTGCTGTTAGTCCATCTTCTATGTTCTATGATGATACGTATAATACTCTTAAGTATGCAAACCGAGCAAAGGATATCAAGTCTTCTGTGAGTATGTTGGTATTTATTGATCTTTTGTCAGGTATACTAATATAGCACTAAGAAAAGGAGAGCTACTTCTCTTAGAAAATTATAATTTCCTTCACTTTTGTCTCAAAATTTTGTTCAGTTACCTCTTCTTTCTTAGAGTCAACACTTCTTCATCTGAGTGATGGATGTAGTAGATACAGAGCAGATACTAGTTCTGTCCTAAAAGCAATATAGCTTTACTAGTGGCATTATGCTGCCAGTCTGAAAGAGTTTGTTTTGTGAGCATCAAATTTAGAAATAATCTTCAGCTGATAAAATTCACAGCCAGTTTCAGGATCTTACTGTTACTTTCTCAGAGAACTGTAAAGCATGTTAAAGAAATGTCTGAGCAGTTATGCAAAAGCCAGTCCAGGTTTGTTACAGGTAGAATTCAGCTGGAGCCAAGGTCAATGGGATTATATTGGTAAATGAAAAGCTACTGGGGTGTCCTGTCCTCTGCTTTCTATTGTTGTGATTTTTATTTTCATAATCCTTTGTATTGCAGCTCCTAATTTCTTTTATCTAATATGAGATTGACTGTAGTTTCCATTTGTTGCATAAAGATAGTTTTTATAATAAAATCCACAGGATACACATTAAATACTAAAATTAGTCTGAATAAATGCAAAATGTTCTTGCATGTGTAAATGTAAATATTTTTTTATTGTCCTTTTGAGGGAAATGACATGTCCATGGGTATGCAACAGATGACTGCAAAAGTCACAAGTCATATTTTGGTTGTGCAAGTCAGAATTTTATTCATCCCTTTCCTCATAATATAGTGCAAGTGTAATTATGTAGTACTTATACACAGTGTATTTATTACTCAAAAAAAACATGAAGGAGCATTCTTAAATTCTAACTTGTTTCTTTTCTTTAACAGTTGAAGAGCAATGTTGTTAGTTTGGACAGTCACATAAGCCAGTATGTTAAAATTTGCAATGAACAAAAGAAAGAGGTATGGAAAAAATCTGTTGTTAAAGGTTTGAAAGATTAATTGTTTTAACTTTAAATACAAAAAATCATTTATGGGTTTGAACCTATAAGGCAATATTGTCCTAATTCTCCCATATAGTCTTTTGAAGTAAGAAAGATGTTTTGTCTTCTAAGAGGATTATCACCTACTACCATTTGTAAAGCTTTTCAAGACATAAGCTCAGAATTGTAGGTTTTAAAAAAAAAAAAAAAAAAAAAACTATATTCCAACTAAAAGCTACCTTTTTTGTCTTAGATCCTAATGTTGAAAGAGAAACTGAGAGAATACGAAGAAAAGCAAGCAAGCATTCCTGAAAATCATAATGCTACAATACTTGCAAACAACCAGCAAGTGGAAATACAAAGGTAAATTAATCACATTACAATCCTGCTTCAAAACTGGAGTTTGCATAACTTGTAAAAGCATTTCTAAAACAAACTTACTGTTTTCAATATTAGTTTCCTCATTTTTAACATTGCTTTACTCAGACTAGGCGTGGCTTTGCATAACTTATCACTTCTTTTCAGAAGAAGTTGATGCTGGATTTAAAATAAAAGAAATACCGTGTACTTGAGGAAGTATCCTGATATTAACCTTCTAGGCAATTATTCAGTAAAACACTGCAAGATAACCATGTACTCTGATCCTCAGGAAGCTGACGTAACTCACTCTGACATCACAGTTTGGATCAGTGGTGAAGGTCTTGTATCTATAGTTACTTTCTTGTGAAGGTTTTTAAAATGCTTGTGTGCTGGGTTTTTAAAGATTATCAATAGCTTCATTATTGTAATGAAGATATTTCATGGGAAAGTCAGGTATTTTTGTCTCAAGGCTACCCATGTTATTCTGTATTGACGTGCAGATTAACTTCTGCCATTAGTAACACAAAAGATTTTAGGACAAGCGTTCTCCTAGGAGGCTCCAGAACTCTGTAGGGCTAAGAAGTTCTTTTCTGCTACCAAAAGCTAAATATTTCAGAGAAAAATAACAACCATCTTTAATCTTCATTGTTTAAAGTACCCTGTTGTAATGTAGGTTTTCAGAAAAACTAGAATCAAATGTAAATTTTATAAATTTCTTATCCTATTTTGAGCTAATATCTAGCAAAATTGTTACGGATTGATTTTAAGTCACCTTGATTATTCAGATCTGATTTCTATTGTTACTCTTGTGTTATTAGAAGGATCCCCATATGAAAGCACTATTTTGCAAAAACTGAATGCACATGTATACATACATACATACGTACAAACACATATGCAGTGGCAGATAAAAATGAAACGGTGATTGTGAAAGGTTTGGTAGCAAAACTATTCAGTGAAAATCTGTATTTGTGGGAGGTACAGAGCTGAGATAGGGTCATTCACTAATGTGTTATCAGGAAGAACACTGAAAAATTGGTGAAAGTCCAGTGATGAAAAATAACTGCCAGCCAGACAATCAACTAAAATTCATCAAATAAAAATACAGTAAAAAGAACAGGCAAACAAAACAACTAAATAGCCAAACAACTGGTCTGTATGTGGGCTGAACAATAACCTAATGATAGATGATAAATGTAACAAAATAGAGTAGTGTTATATTTGAGTGTTATGTAATAAAGAAAGGCAATACATTTAAGAAAGGGGAAAAAAGTTGAACATAATAGCAACAAAAGCTTCCTGATCTGTCTATGCAACAGTCTTACTTGGAGGATAATAGAAGGCCATTTCACAGGACTTTTAAAACTAGGCGGAGTCCTTTAACAGAAAAAAATCCTTTTTCTTGTAGGAAGCTTATCTTCATAAATGTGAAATGTCTTACAAGTAAGAGAAAGTTACTATAGTTTTACAGTTATGCTATCAATAAACTGGTCAAGATCTAGGCTTCTAAAATGGAGATGATAGGTTTTAGGGAGAGGAACAGTAGAATATTTACAAGGCTCTTTTTTAATAACTCTAGGAATGTGTTACCAAATAGAACTTGACTGCCTCTGGCATTATAGAAAAATTTTAAAACTATTCTCTGTGTTCTAGTGGTGGTGTTTGTCCTCACAGTCCAGTTTAGTTGTTTTAGTAATCTGGGGGCGAGGTGGGAATGACACACGTATGCAGCATATGAATGCTAGCTTTCAGCAAAGCTACTTAACAGGTCATTTTTGTGGGTAGACAGAATGTAGTTTGCATAAATGACAGCAGCTGCTGCTACTGCTGGCAGATACTACTTCAGTATTATCTTTCTGGCAAGGTTTGAGAGAGGCAAGAACTTTTAAGTTCTTCTTTCCACAAAGCATTTAATTTATGTTTGCAGGTTCCTTACTTTCTATTGCTTTTGTATTTCTTGGTGTCTCTTTCTTCTTGATGATGTTCCTGTCTATCTTTTCTGATGTGACAGTCTCTCTTGTGAGAGCACACAAGAAGTAACAAATTAAGATGCGTGACGTATGAATTTGTTGCAGAAGTCAATCTGTTCCATAAGAAGGTTAGGTTTTGGTGTGAAAGTCTTTCTGAATCAGTCTGCGTATCTCATCACATGTTTCTGAGAACTCTTCACCTAGGTTTATTCAGTTAGCTTCTTTATTTTTATTGGCCCTTTGAATGTGGTATTTTTTAACCTGGAAAACCTTCTGAGGTGAAAGAAAAAACCCATTCAAAGCAAAATGCTCTCTAACTGAGCTTCACTTTACTGGCATTCCAGAAGTTTCAATAAACCTCTCAATCAGGTTATTTAAATTTAATTTTCAGAAGAAGTGTAGGTTTTGAAGTCATGTTCATAGTTCTGATAGTTTTCCTGCATATTTTTGCACTGCAAGTCTTTAAGGTTAATTTAATTTCCTGTGATTTACCCTTTTATTTCATTTTGTGTGTGGGAGGAATCAGTCAAGGGCAAGGTCTCTAAAATGTCTTCTCAAAATGCTGGACATATTCTATGCCAAGATTTGTTGGTCAGAGAATATTTGGGGTTTAATGTTCTGGAATAACCATAGAGACACACTTAAGCCTATCCTTTTCCCTCTAGATATCACCAATAAAGTGGACGTTTAATTTTCTTCCTCATGAGGATCCTGTCAGGTTCATCCTACTGATGGTGTGGGTGGTATGTTGATTTCCCCCACGTTCATTTACAGGTTTTGAAGGTATTCTGCCATCTTCTCCTTTCCATTTGGGACAGGGTAGAGAGCCTTATCCACAATCTTGTGTTTCAGTCCAACTACCTATGGCTTTTGCTTCACTGTTATCAGGAAGAAACTCCCTGATTACACCACTTGCTTCTTCAAACCCAAAGGTCATTCCTGCTCCCTGTGTTGTCTAAAGCTTGGAGATGTATTGTCTGCCAACCCTTCAAGTGTTGAGCCTGTTGAGGTAGACAGTGGACACTGGCTTTGGAACTACCGCCAACAGGTCCATGAGCTCTTTGAGACTAGGTAGTCCAGAGAGTTCATACCCTGGATATGCCTACAGGATCACTTTGTCCTTTTTAAGTAGAGAAGGTAAAGATAACTCTGTAAGAATAGAAGTGTGCTTACTGAAAGAGTGAATCCAAGCTCAAGGCAGCAGCTTTGCAAAGGCTTCTATACTTGATGCTATATTTGGGACAGTGATGATTATAAGTGCACAAAGGGTTAATTTACCAGTAATAGTTCCTCACAGTGATTGTACATAGAATCAGAATCTGCAGCCTCTCTTAAATTATGCCCAGGGTTTTACTGTGAGGGAAATTGAGAGAGAGGATTCACCTTCATTTCTTATTGCTTTGTTTCCCAGGCAGCTGGGAGGAGCCATGTTTCTATGGATACTATGGAGGAAAAAATTGTCCAACCAGTTGTGCAATAGTATAGTAGTGCAGATTGTATAGATAGTAACAGCGTAGGGTAAGAACTCTGATACTCTGCAGCTATTTTATTCCTTAAAGAAATATTATTTCTAAATTCTGTGTGTGTTTTAGTACACATTTTTACCTAGATACAATAGCATTCTCTGTATGCTTTCAGGCAAAACTGTTGAATTTCTAAAACTGTAATGAAGAATTCTTTTGTTAATTCTGTTTGTTTTTAACACAAGAGTAATGCAACACTACAATAAAAGACTTGGAGTTATTCAGACTTTAGGCTATGAAATTAACTGCTGCTTCTGAAACACACTCTTAAGAATGTCTCTTCAACTTGCTCTCTAGTTGAACCTATGTGTTATTTTATAGTATTATTATGGCATTTAATTTTATAATCTTTTATACTAAACCCTGCATAATGACCTCAAATGTTGCATGTATTTAGAACATTTGCATATTAAATTGTGCTTTTATTCTTTATGTGAAGTTCTAATAAGTTAACGGGATATTGTGAAATGGCTTATATACAAGGTTGGTCATTATCGAGATATCCAGTATCTTTGGGGCTATTCTGTACTGCATTTTCAGTATTCAGGAGTGAAATAAAAAAGTTTCACCACTGAAATTTATATTGCAACATAGTAACATTTCCAGGCTTTCTGCTTATACTTGGTTTTCTGATTTGCACTGCAGACTAAGGACAAGCAGATTTTGAGGCCATTTAAATATTGGTCTCCTTGGAGTAACTCTTAAGTACTTTCTATCACTAGGGTTTTTTTCCCCTACTAGGCTAGTATGTGTTAAAAAATGATGCGTGTTCTGATTTTTGTTGTCCATTAGTGATTAAAATTGTACAACAGAACTTCAGAGAAAGTGAGTGACTGAAGACTCTTCTGTGGTTTTCCTTTTTTGAGAGATAGCTAGTGGGTTTTTTGAAGGAGACCTTGTGTGTCTATGGCAACAGTTGTCCGATACATTCAATAAATTGGTATAAGTAGAGAACATAAGTATTTAGTATCTTTTTGAAGGTAGAGGTAAGGTTTATGTGAAGAAGTTCCAGATGTCTGTCTCTTGAATCCCAATGTCAGCTTCACGAATACAAGGCTTATTTTTAGTGACCCCTTCAAAATTTCACATCCCATTTCCAGTTGGAGTATATAAAATCTTTATTGATGTACTGACACTTTATTTAGTGCTCATCTATAACAGGCTTTACTTTTTTCCTCTTAATTTTTTTATATTTATTTCCTTAACTTGCAACTGAAAGTTCGCCTTGTAAAGGGAGATGGTCGTCAAAAAAATCTTCAGTAAGTAATATGTTATTTATTCTTATCCTTTGGTTCTAATAGATACAAAGAAATCCTTAAAAATGTGTTTGCAAACCGTGAGGAAATCAGAAAAGAATACCTCAAGCTGGAAATGTGCCTGAAAGAAAACTCACTGAAGACATATTACCAGAAACAATGTCATGAACAAATTCAACTGATGTGTTCTGAAGAAAGAGTAGAAAAGGTGAGTTTTCTATAATGTAATACTAGGTATCGTCTCTCTTCATTTTGTTATACTAATGTATGAATTTTGCTTAAGTAATTCTATCATTAGTTAATGCTTAAATATTTAATTAAAATGGGACACACCAGTTATCACTCAGATAACATTTTCTGACATTAATAGAGAAAATGTAGTAGGAATGCCAGGTGTGCTATTTTTTCCCACACTGTACAGAAAACTATTGATGTGCTTATTGCTGCTAACTGTGAAAACTTTTCAACTTGTCCTTATGTAGGCTTGATTGTCATAGTTCAAGACCTGACTAGACTTAGGAGACTCATGGTAATTTGTCCAAAACCAAAGCATGTTAATATATGCATGGTACAGCCACTGAAGCTGTTATCAAGCTGAGTAGTCTGTATTTCATAAGGAAAAGCATGGTCCTTGTGCTAAACGAGACTGATTCTTATCATTGGTGTTTTCAGTTGTCACCAGGAAGATGTTCGATAGCTGCTTAAGGACAGTCATGTACTGAAATAATTACATTTAGTTACCTTGGAATTTAAGAGAAGAATTTGGGGGCTAAGTAGGAACAATTGCTTTTGTGCAGCATTAAATGCTCACGTCTTTCTAGAAGAATCAAAGTATAAATAAGTAAGCATGGTTAGATAGTATCTTAATTTTTCTGATAAAATTTAACTTAAAGGAGTATATGTTTTATGTAGATATGAAGTTGAGGGTGGGGCTGATTTTGCTTAGTCACAGAAACAATCTGTATTTGGCCGAAAATGACAGTTTACCATATGACTATTTTTTCCCAGTGATTCACATGAAATTTGGTCCTTAGATAAATGTCAAAGTGAAAAATACATCACACACTTTTGCTTGTCATTAGTGAAGATATTTCAAGTGACTAATGTGTTCTAGAATTCTCTTTTGTGCCATAGAAACTCTGAAGTAATATTTATCTGTGCCATACTTTTAAATGCTGCTTAGAAAGGAGCATAGCTGTATCTCTACTCATAATGAGGAGCTATACCTTCATATACTCTTTCATACAAATGTTTTTATTACGAGCTGATTTAACTTTTATTTTGAATGTTGGCAGTGCTGTACTCAAATGTTGGTTTTGCCGTTAGTTAACTTACAGATGTGATTTACTAAGGGCCAAGAGTCACTGTCCTATAAGTATGATGCCTTATTTATTAACAAAAGTCACTGTAATGGTAAAATTAAATGTCCTTTTGTGATTACTTTGGAACAAATTGGATTTTAATTTGGACTTCAGTCATTTGATTACCAAAGTGACTGCTCACATGTCCCTTGTGCACTATAATGCTTCTGTTCTTACTTGTCTTTTTACACATTTGCTATTTTCCTAAATGCCCCTTGGTTTTCTCTGTGTAAAATACACTGTTAGGCCACGGGGGTATTTCTGAAATATTAATTTTTACCGGAAAATTTTTACTTATAAAGTATCTTTTCTTTTTACACTTAATTGTCTGTGCTCAGTAACTAGATATGATAATGGGTTTTAGGTAAGTTAACACGAAGCAAATGGTATCTTATCTATACTTGAAGAACCCCAGTTTGAACACTTTAATTCAAAACAATAATTTCAGAAACAAGGAAAAAAACTTACGTATGAGTTTAGGTCACTTAATCTCTGTTTGTACAAATGCTTTCTTATTGCAAAAATTTATGTCACAATTTATCCTGTGAAATTCAATCCATCCTGGACCACTAATAAATAATTTCCATTTTCCACATAACTGCCCCTGTTTCCAGCTTTTTTAGAACTTGGATGCTGCCCAATTAAATGGCCTCATGCCTGGTTTTCTACTTGTTACCTGTATTTCTGCAACTGTGTTGTTTTCCTGTTGCGTGCTAGGTGTCAGCTACAGCAGTGTTAGCCAGAAAACCTTTGTGCCAATAGGATAATACGTATAGAGCATTCCTCTTTGTATGGAAGCATAAAAAGTTAGTATGTGCCCATGTGTTACAGTTACTTTTAATGATCTTGCTGAGTTTGAAAAAGTCTACTTAGTTTTGACCTATTTTATCTTGAACATTTCTGCATCAGTCATGGAATCTGTTTTACAATTTTTTTTTATTTTTAAAGACATGGCAAAAAACTGCTGGTACTTTGATAGGCTTTAGAAAAAGTATATTAGATTTAAAAATCACTTCTATGATTCTGATTGCCTCTTTAACATTATTTTTACTATCTAGAAAAGGATCATATTCCCGGAAAGTTGTCAGTCTATCTTGGTTTCAGTTCTTATGCTTAGTCCACAAAAACGCTTGTTGAATGTATGCCAGTTCTTCGTCCCAGTAGGGATGATTTCTTCTATATCTCTTGTGCTTTTTTTTTCTATTACAAAACAGAATAGCAACCAAGTATCTTGTCTAGGACTATATGTGTTCCAGAGGCTGTGTACAGGTAGCATGCGTAACCATATTTTTTTCTGTCATAGCACATCGATGTAACATACCCTTTCTTCCTGGGAACCTACAGGATGGGTTTATCGAATGGTGGGATATTGTCAATACCACCTTCAATCCTAACACCTTTTCTGCACTGTGTAAAAGCTGATGTACACAAAACAATGTGTCTGAATTTCTCTGCTTCAGCAGTCTTGAAAGCTCTACCCTAGTCTCACTGGTCAGAGGGAACCAGTGGTCGTTGCGAGCATTAGTCTGGCAGTTAACTCTTCCTCATGGTACTTCCCCTAAGGACCTGGTCCTTTACAAAGTGACTTTGTCTTCTCTGGATCCTCTGTCACCTTAGCAGATAAGACAGTCTAAAGAGAAAGCAAAGTGAAATTCTGGCCAGAATCTAGTCTTTGAGCTGGTAAGTTGCCTGGATCACACATGTACTTCAGGTGTCTTTACCTTGCTGGTTCTGTGGTCTGCATGCCATGTGTTGAAGTAAGCATTTTTAAAAGTCCGCTTAACAAATTCAATCTGCATCTCTCCACATACTGTTCCTCTTTTTTACAGCATGTTCAGAAGGGCACCAGTTAAAGTAATTTCTGCTTTGTGCAACGTTAGGGAGGTACATTCAGAGTTTCTTATGACATTTTATAATAGAACTAATTTGGCCTGCTATTCTAAATATGTAGATTGATTCTAATTGATGAAGCTTTCATTTAGAGTGTTAATTTTGGAATGTATGGACGTAGAGATTTAGGTTATATAATTTAAAAAAAACCTTGATTCTGTATGTTTTTGTTGAGTGTAGCAATATACTTCAAATGTTGTGGGGTTTTATTTTGGTTTGGGTTTTTTTAACTAACAAAAGTTTAGGCAAAGCTCATATTTGTGAACTCTAAAGTTAACGTTCTCTATGACCGGTTGAGTTAATGACCTAATTTTTAAAGTATACAGCAAACTATAGTTGTCCTGAATAGAAGGAGACTCCTTTGCCTTGTTAGGACACTACGTCATTCATATCCAGCTTGCTGTTGCTGGTTTTGTGCCTTTTTCGTTATCAGATCTCAAAGAAGCATCAGAAGAATTTTAGATAGAGGGTTTTCCTTTTGCCAAATTCTTTATCCTTTGGTGGTCTTTCTCTAGGACATACTGCATTAGGAAAAAAAAATAGCAGATAAAATTCCGTCTTCATATTCATGCTTGAGTTACTAGAAATTATTAGGTTACGTTGTATCTAGAAGTATGTTTGTATGTGCATGTGTAGTTTTTCCAGTCTTTGCAACTTAAGAAAATTATGGACTAGAACAGAAATTTAGCAAATCCAATGTATTATTCTTTAAAGGAATCATCAAATGACTATGATCTGTTATAAGGGCTTCCAGGGAAAAAAATCTGAAAATGTTTAAATATAATTCACTAATGCCCGTAAGGAGAATGGGCTACTTCACCTTTATTAAACTGATCAAAAATGCAAGATGTTTGTAATGCCCAGTTGAGTATAAAAGCATGAAAAAAATCTGTTTTTTATAGAGAGATGTTTGCAAACGTAATTTAAAAGTTTTTCCCCTTAAATGCTGATTTTTAGGCCACTTGCAAGCGGGATCAAAGGCTTGCAATGCTTAGAACCCACCGCATACACATGCAGAAGAAGAAAGAAGAGGAGGTTGAACGTTTTGAGGAAAATACAAATTGGCTGCATCGTGTTGAAAATGAAATGCGCCTCCTGGGTCAAGATGGGTGTATTCCAAAGGTAAAGTGCCTTTCACTTCAAGGACAGATTTCAGGCATTGTAGGCAACGTCTGACTATAGTTAAGAATAGATTATAATTTTTTTTCCCCTCTTTGTCTCACTTCTACTGACATCTTCTGCCATTCTTTCAGGGTAGTTTCAAATTCAAGTATTAGCTGTTTCTGCTCTTCTGCTCTCAAAGTACTTAATTGTTTGTGCAAGTATTCCTTGTTCATGAAAATATACAATTACGTATAAAAATGCACGCTAAAGGGGAGTAAGTATGGTATGGCTAAGCAGTTCAGATGGCTGCCAGAGTGTTGATCCTGCTCCTGGCCATACACTTCTAGTCTTGCCTTTACAGTAGCTCCTGATGCTCGTTGAACCATGTGACAACCTAATTCTTAGCCTGGCCAAAAAAATCTTTTTTGGAGGGTGCTGGGGGAGGACTGGAAAGGGGGAAAGAAGTAGGAAGTTGCGTTAAGTTCTCTGCCAAGTTTTAGCAAGTAGTGTCAACTCAGTGCAGCCTCAGACAAGACCAGAGCTGGCAGAAGGGAAGGGATGAAGGTCTGTGCAGAACAAGGAGAAGAGGAAAAGAGAGGTGGGGGGGTTGTTCCTCCCTGCCTTTTAGTTTCAGCCGGCAATTGGAGTGGCTTAAATGATAGTGTAATGAGCACTTATGTGACTCGTATAATGGAATGTATTTCAATACCTGTATTTTTATTGGGATGACTAAAATGTGTTGATACCTTAAAAGAAATTTAAGGTATTTCAAACAGGATACTGGCATCTCAGGAAGATGACTGAATACAGTGAAGACTTGTCCCAGACAATGTCACTGAAATTCAGATATGGAGCGAGTACACAGTAAAAGGGGCAAACATATTTTTGGGCATGCATAGATAAGCATATGTGTGTGCCTGTTGGATTCTTAATGCTAATTACAGCACACCCACAATGATCAAAGGAATCTACAAAGCAATATTTATGCATGTAAATGAGAATCAAACAATTCATACTTTTCTGCTATAAAACATTCTTTTAATAATATAGATCCACTCCATCTTTACTTTTCAATCTAAGATGAATTAATACTATTTTTAGTTTCACACTATCAGTTTGATGTGTAGTTGTTTGTGGTTTTTTCTTGCTAATTTCCCAAGGAACTCTGTAAAGATCTGCAGTGTTGCCATTTAAACCTAGAAGTTAAGGACCTGAAAGCCCAGATTGAGCACATGTTATCTCTGGTGTCCCTTCAAGATCAGCACTATAAGCAGACAGAAAAGTAAGTATGGTTTCATAGCAGGTGTGATAAGACTTCTAGTCTGACATTTGTAACTTCAGAAGACATACCTATGGAATTTAGTTTTAGTTGAAACAGAAGCAAGATTTTTCTCAAACTTTTTCTAGGTTAGAATTGTGTTTTCTTAGCAAAAAGATATGTAAAATAATAATCACTACATAAATCTTGGTCTGTATCCACCATTAACAGAAACTGCAGGTATACTCTAGGGCTTCTTATTTCTATTTAATTTTCTTCTTTGCATAGTTTTTACAAATTGTTCAATACATCAAGGTGTCTTATTTTCTTCCATGTTGAACAGCAGTACTGATTTTTTATAAGTGATTGTGTTCTCTTTTAATTTCTTGCACTGTAGACGTTAATTTACCTGTAACAAAAACTGTTACTATTAAACTCTCATATAGCTAGTCAGACTGAAGAAAGCTGAATTTGCAGGTAAGCATGAGCTCTCTTTCTATTATCAGTCTCTTGAAAATGTTGGAGACTAGCTTTCGGAATGTGACATAAGGAATGGGAAGTAATCTCAAATCTGTTCAGTAAATAAGAATATTAAAGTTTTAATTAAATTATTCCAAAATGAAATAACCAGCTTTTCTTCCTCCTTTGGAGAAAAGGCTGTTACCATAAACCATTACAAAAACTAATACGTAAATCTGCAAAAATGAAAGAAAAATTTTTGAAGCTACATTGTTAGTAATTACAAAGTTGCATATTTGGGTTTCTGTATACATATCCCTTTCCCTATTGCTTGAACTTCCTGTTTAGTCTTGCAACTGACTCTACAGTTAATGAATTCCTGTGTTCAGGTAGAATTCCTAAGCTTTTGTCATTTTAATTTGATTTGCAGTTGTGTGTGGATCTTAAGGTAGTCCATTCTTTAATTAAAGATCCTAGTATCTAAATTTATCTGGACTAGGCTTCTAATAAGGTTCTATGCACATCTGATTAAGATGTGCTTGGTTTAAACCACATTATTTGGTTTATACTCTTCTTCATTTATTGGATGATTAATTTTTGAAAGTCAGACCTCAATCAAGTTATAGTGACTATTATTTCTGTGGTGCTTGAGGGACTGAATATCTTGGACACTGAGGGAAAACTATACCTAGTAAATACTTAGAGTGAAATGCAAGATTTTGCAAAAGAGAAAAATTACTCTTAGTCATGAATATTTCCTCTCAGTGTTATGGTATTCACCCAAAATAAATTAAAATAAATTACACAGCAGAACTGGGGCGGGGGAGGGGACGGGGGAGGGGCAAGGCAAGAAGGACAAAACCTTCTTTGTATTCTTCCTTTGTATTCTTAATAGTGGCAATGCTAGTAAGGATCAGATTAGTTATGGTTTAGTCATATTTGTCTTGCCTGTTGTTGTTTTACAGAGTACTAAATACCTTGCTTCCAGTTCTTCGCAAGCAATACCTGACTTTGAAAGAAGCTGGGTTGACAAATAATTTAATTGAGACTGAATTTGGGGAGGTTGAGCAGCTGATTCAAAGACAAAAATCAGTAGTTTGGGCTGACCAGACTGAAGCAAAGGAACAAAATCAAAACAATGAACTAGACTTGTCAGCTATCTTTGCATTCCCACAACTTGTGAACAGGGCAAACACCCCATGCCGTAAGTATATAATTAATTTGTTCTCTGTTGAAAATGCTTTTAAATGTCTCCTGCAAAAGTTATATGTCATCTATAAACACAGTGGATGCACACTTCTGCAAATACTGAAGCCAAATATAAAACTGAGCCTCAGACCCACTTTCTATAAATTACATAACATTCGTAATTGGATATAGGAAATAAGTTTACTTTTTCAATGGCTAGACACACTCTGCCAACAGATAACTCCCTCCTCCTCATGTTGTAACATACCCCATATATCAGTGTTCCTCGATCCTATAAGTGTTATTAATAATTCCATTTGAATCTTTCACATGACATTGATGGAATCATAGTGTCAACAAGTATTATAATTCTGTTAAAGTGATTTGAAATGTTAAGCAGCTGCTATGGTTTTGCACAGTTTCAAGTAATAGACTTGGGGAGGATGAGATTTCCCATTAATTACAGGTTGGCCTGGAATTAATTTAGTACAATATTTTATAAGTTTATTTTTCCAAGAATCAAAGGATTCACCATTTCTGTCATGGAATTGACTGCTTTGCTGTATCCTGACAGCCACATTTTTTTTCCCTTGTAATTCTATGTAGCTGGCTTTTCTTCTTTAGTTGTAAAGCGAGTTGGCCGAGAGGATAGCCTGGGTAAAACGGGATGAAGAATCCTTACAGAAGGCACTGTTCTGAGGGATGACAGGCCAAATCTCAGCCTGACAGTGCAGCTGCTGTGGGCCAATGCTGTATCTTGTGCTCTGGATAGGCAGCACTAACACACTGGGGCTTTCTGCTTACAGCTAATAATCTGTAACATTGAAAGACATCCATAGGTAACAAGGGAAAAGCAGATAAATAATGCTTTAGCTTCTCAAAAGCTGGTAGTCATAGAAGAGCATTGACCCCTGGAACACTGTGAAATTAGTCCACTGCTTCCTTTAGCTTTCTTCCTCTACACAGCTCATTCTGGGGTTAAGAATTATTCTGCCAAAACCATTTATAACCTCTGTTCTCATTAAGCGTGTATGTGATTTTTAGCATATGCTTGTATTGCTGTTGACCATACCAGATAGTTGATGCCCAGTATTTCACTGTCTGCAGTGTAAAGGTCAGATTGTGTTGAGGGTGGGCTGGGTTTTTTTTTGGCAGGGAGAGTGGTGTTGGGTTGGTTTTAGTTTGGGTTTGTTCTTTTTGGTGTGGGTTTGGGTTTGCGTTTTCAGAGAGAAGGAAAAGAAAGTTTGCAGACTTGCATGCTTATACTTCCTATTTTGCCCATGCTAGTCAGGGATTCAGCAAGGCTGAAAGCAGTTGTTGGCTTGCTCATTTCTCCTTCCCGTTTGGAGTGAGGGCAGTGGACCTCAGTGGGTTGCAGCAGTCTTCCACTCTGCTCCATTCTCATTCCCCATATAGAAAGAAATTGGATGTGGATTGCTGGCAACCTTTTGGAAAATCATGGCAGTGATAAGTACCTGCATTCTGTGGCATTGTGTTCATTAGGAACCAGAATGCTACTGTCATATCATAATGGAAATATAATCTGCAAAGCTTTATTAAAGGCATTAAAATAAAAGGTAGTGATTTTCTTTCTTGTTTTATCTTTATTTTTAAACAAAAAGAAGAATATTGTTTTTAAAACTGGTTTTCTAGTCTGTTTAGTCTGTCATGGCAAAGCAGATTAATGAAGGGTTTGGAGGTGGGGTTGTTTCCTGTCATAACTCATCTGAGAATTCAAATACAGTGACATTTTCTTTTCGGTGCTAGAACACTGGAATCTTAATAGCAGATCTGATTGCAAAAATCAGCCCATTCTTATTTTGAATCATGTTTTGTGTGTATGTATATATGTATATATATGTCTATATTTTCACTTATAATTTAGACTGTGATTATCTGCCTGAAATGTGTAATATTTTATTATATTAAAAAAACACCTAGAAAACGGCATTTAACATGTTAAGGTTGGATTTGTGGAAGTATACATCTGTGGCTGAAGAAGGAAAGAAATATAGACTTCTCTAAATCACTTGTAAAATAAGAATTCAAGTCTCACATGCAATGGGGTTTTCACTTGGAGATGGGTATTTTATATGTACAAGACAAACATGAAGCCATGCTCTTAGCTGGTATTTATTTTATATCATAGGCATATTTTTGGTATACTTTTTTTCCTTTTAGAGGGATTATTTTTTTTCTGGCAGAATAGGTAGGGAGATGTACCCAAATGCAGATCCAGTAAACTGGATAATATACTTTAACTAAGCATTGATTGTAGAGATTCTGTCTTGTCGTATGTGGTTTATCATTGTTTTGAATTTTAATTCATGACACTAGTAAGCTTCATTAGAGTTCTTGATTAATCTATTTTTGTTCCACCTTCCTTGAAGTCCTGTGTTGTAAGAGGCCAGATTTGTTCTTGCTGAAATTAACACTAAAATAACTATTATTTAGATAGCAAACTTTTAATGCATAAACATTTCACTCATTAATATCATTAGACATAATTTGAGGGGTTGTCTCGAAAGTCTTATCTGGAGGTTTTCCAATTATTCTCTTGTTCTAAATGTTGTTGAACTGTATGTTCACCTAAGTAAATGGACACCATATTTTTTTCAGTTAAGATGGACTTTTTTCAGCTGTAAATGGTGTCTTTGCCTGAAGATGTCCATAGAAGTCTTTTGTGGTATTTTTATTTTTGTTTACTTGTTGTTCTTTGGAGAAGGAAATAGGAGACATTACTTTCGCTCCTTTCCCCCTGTTAGTAGATGCAGGAGAAAATATGGTAGAAACAACTGTCCTCCAAATTTTGTAAGCCTTCCTGTAAAGGTTATGATAACTTCTAACAAGACAATTTCTAATGCCACACTTCTTGGGATTTTTTTTTTTCCTCTTCATCTGATTGTGTGCTCTTTCCATTTGCTTTTGACCAGTTATATGAACGTGTTGATAATTTTAGTGGATGTTGCCAGGATTTTTTTCCAAATTACTGAAGATTTTTAGTCTTCATAAAGAATGTACCTCTTTCTCATTGACAGCTTACGTTGGTGAGCTAACATAACATAAGTTTTGTCCAACAGGGTTGTTTTTTTTTTCCTTCATACTGCTTGTTAGTATAAGACTTTCTGCTCAGTAGGTAGCCATTGTTGTACAAAAAATCATAAATATAAGTCATTGTACAGAATAAGTCATATTGCTACTAGGTGCTAAAGTACTGAGAGCTGGACATTAGACATTTGAATTTGAAATTGAGTTGGAATTGAATTAGAATTGGATTTGCTTGCTGGAAGAAATTAAAATAAAATTCTAAAAATGATTAATTGGACATTCAATTGTTTAATTTTAAAACCTTAAGGTGACAAGTGAACATGAACAGTATCAGCTCTGCTTAGAAAAAATAAATTCTTTTCAAACAATGTTTTTACAGTATCATTTTAATCTTACTATGTCCTTATCTAAAATACTAGTGGTGTTGACACAATCATTTTCATACATCTTGGGAGGTGGGGTGGAAAAAAGTAATCCACTTTATCAGTGCTTTAAAAATTCTTCTGTTGAGCACAAAATAGATGCAATGAAATAGCTCCTCTTCAATTATTTGAATTCACATTTAAAATGTTGAACTATTAGCTGATATTATGTTATGGAAATCCATTTCTCTTGTGCAGAACGTATATAACAAACGATTAAGAAAAAAAACATAAATCAGAAAAAATACATTAGCATGGGAAAATGTGAAGTAGTACAAGGGCAACATCTCAATCGGAAATAGGAAGGATGTAGTAATTTCTCTTTTCCTTTAAAGATTTAATAAATTATTCAAGAATCCAATTCCTTCTCCCTAAAGTCATCTCAGAAGTATGCTTGGCAAATGTTAGCAAGAGCTGACCTACGAACTTAATGAACAAATAAAAAGGAAGATTTATACAGATCCCCTCACACCTTTGGTGCATTGATATTTTATTATTTATAATTTGTTCAAGATGTTGGGAAGAAAATAGCATTTTGCACCAAGATGAAAAAAAAAGTTAGCCACGTGCTACACAGTGGTCATTATTCCTTATATAAAAATCCATATTTCACATATAACATAATTGCATGGACTTCAACTTGTTAGCAGAAAAGAGCCATGCAGTTCATTTCTTGTGATTTGATTCTTATTTTTCACGTTATAAGTTGAGCAGGAATTTTTTTAAATCTCCCATTTACTATAAATATGTCACCTTGTGTTAGTGTCTCAGACGTTTCTTTTCTAAATAATCTGGGGGAGAGGGTAGAAAAGTTAATTGGAGGCAATGTAATGTTTCTTCCAAATGAAATGTAAGTCTGGAGCATCTTAGAGGAAGAGAGTGTGCTAGGTCTGCTGGTAACAAATATGATGTATTGCTTTTGAACCAATGTTAACACCTATTTGGAAAAATTTTTTTTTTTTTGAGAAAATCCCTCTGCAAAAGTGAGATGCTACTCATGTAGAAAACAGTAAGATTTATGAGGAAAATAAACATTCTTCAGTGAAAGTTATGAAGTAAACAATTACATATCTTTTGTTGAACTGAAAAGTATCTAAGGATGTATGCAGTATCTATGCATTATCCATATTTGGAAATTTCAAATTCATTAACGAACTACAAGTTAGTGTTTAGTCACTAAGTGTTTAAAATGGTGGTGATGCAGAAAAACACCCATGCTTAAAGAAACTGCTGAATTCTACATGTCATAGAATGAGGCACTAATCATTGCAGAAACTTTTTTTTAATGACACTGTAACCTTTTGCTGGCAGTCCTTTAAGAGAGAACCATGACATTGTTCAAATGCAAATGAATTGTTACTGAGTGTTTTCACATAAAAATTAAAATGCTTTAAGTCACATAAATAATATTCCTGATTATAAGCACTGTCCCCAAAAGGCTGAAGCAGCTAAATCATTTCTGTAGAATGGGAAAAGCTGTGAAAGCAGGGCCTTAACTTCTCATGGGTTTCTTTGGAATTAACTACATTGCACTAGCTGATCCTGA